GAAATGGAAACTAGTTGGTTTTTGTCGTATTGCAATACGTGTTATCACTGGTAGTTTCAGAGCTGTGTTTATTGTCGAGATTTATCGAAAAAAATGAGTTGCAGATCCGGTGTGGCAAGAGAAAAAAAAAGAGAGAGAGAAATGGAAAGAGCGTCGTTAATCTGAAAGAGATGGGCGCAGAATTATCTTGACTTTGCGATAAAATATAATCAACATAAATGGTTGAAACTTTATTCGATGAACGTAATTTCCCTAATTGCAAGTAAATTAATTGAACGACAGATCAACAGATTTTCTCGAAAGATAATATAAAAGTTTATCTCTCGTCGAAGATCATTCTTGCGAAACGAAAGAGATATTTTCAGGAGGATTCGTAAGGAATTTCAAAGAGAGAGATGGAGGAAATTTGATAAACGTTGGGAGAATGCTGTTGCAAATTTTGTCTAGGTACTTGACACGAGTGATTCCATTAGGAAAGGGATGGATAAAAGATAAACGTGCTTGCATACGTCGCAGAGATTAGATGAGAGGAAAGATGAAGAGAGGATAAAATCAGGATCCGAGGAGGGAAATAAACGGCAAATAAGAGGCGCACGGCAAACAGCCTCGCCTTTTGAGGCCTCGCAGCAAAGACAATTTAAGCTTCTTCTGGTCTGCGTCAAAGCCAACCCCTGGCTGCACTTTTCGTCGCTTCTACTCGGGTAAATTAGAAGAAACACACTCGTACACCGAAAAGGGATGGTGTACTACGTGTAAACATTCCAAAATTCTAATAAATTCGCCGTTTCAGGACAATGAACTTTCTAGTGTCACGATCAACGTAGTATTGCGTATTCGTGTAAATATTAATTTCAAAAATGCGAAATGCGAATAAAGAGAAAATGAACGATAATAAAGTAGAATTTGACACGACCGTCGAATAAATTGAAAATGATGAAAAATTAATTCTACTCTATATAAATAGAGTAGGAACAATATAGAAGAACAATAACTGAATAGAGGATCCAATACGTTCATCGTCCTATGTATCTCAGAATTTCTAAAGATACATTGTTATTTTAAAGTTATTTTCCATGTTGCAAATTCAATGTAGAATAAAAGATGAAATAATACGACATGTTTGAATTAATTCGACAAGCTATTTATTTTTTTATGTTATTTTTTTTTTTTTTATATGTAACTTGTTTCTGAACCGATGTCGAAACAAATTAGTAAATCTAGCTTCGCGAAATAATTCAAATGGGAAATAACAATTCTGATGGAATAAATTTTGTGAGATATACAAGAAATATGATTGACAAGGTACTTTTATTTTTTATGAATCAATTTAAATAAATCTTTAAAAAAGATTTAATATATGACAGAATGTACCATTACACTACTCTATTTAGATTTTAAATTGAAAAATTTGCATCTAACTTTAATAAAATTAACTTTATTTGAAATCCTATATCTAATCATAAATTTAATATTATTGATAATACAGTTATAATAATAGTAATACGTGTCATATTATTATTACTGCAATATTACTTTTACTATATCACTTTTATCCATCATAAAAGTTAAAAAATTTTATAAATCTTGTCTATATAGAAATCTAAATAAGTAATGTATATCTCACATATAATATCCAGTTTCTTTCTTTTATATTTTGATTTTTATTGTATCTTACTTATAATATCAGTATATTATAGTACTTACTTATAATATTACTCTCGTCACTATTTACGGATATTAATAAATTTTAATACTTCAGAAATTTTTAACAATTTATAATAAAAAGAAAAAAACCACGATATCTTATCATTCGCAACACTAATAAAGAAACGCGAAAATTACAATGCAACTCTAATTCAATCCGTTATCTTATAATTCGCAACACTAATAGACTAATATTTTTTTTAAAAAAGAAAAAATTTTTCAAATCAATCGCGATTTTTATGAATGCAATATCAATTAATTTATAATTGATTAAAAAAAAAATATAAAAAGATATCTAAAAAATTTCCAAAAATAATCAATTATTTAAACAATACTCGAATTTAAATAATTTAAATAATGTGACGTTAGTGACGAGAGATCCAGAGAAGTAGATCCTTGATAACTGTTGTCGTACATCACCCTTGTAGCTTTTTTAGCTACTTAAGGTGATTCAGGAACGTGAATATTTCCACAATCACGGTGGAAGAAATTTGGGCATTTAATATTCGCAACACTATTTGAACAAACGCGATTATTTGTCAACGCAACACTACTTTTAAACTAATTTAATCATTATTTCTATAACTAAAAAAAAGCTATTGTTAATTATAATGCAAAGAATTTAATGACAAATGATATAAATTTTAATATTACTTGATAAGAAACTATAAAAATTATAAAAAAAACCACGATATCTTATAATTATTCGCAACACTATGCAATATTTAATTAAATGCAAAGAATTAAATGACAAATGATATAAATTTTAATATTACTTGACAAGAAACTATGAAAATTTACAAAAAAAAAAACCACGATATCTTATAATTATTCGCAACACTAATGCAAACGCGATTCTCATTTTAACGCAACACTAATAAAAAATCGCGATGCCCATGATGACTGGATGAACGATGGGCCAGCATGCAAATTGGCCAGATACGATACAACAACATATAATACTACGTATTACTAAAACGAGCACAATGACAAAGTAGTAACAATGACTTCCCATCCTTTGGACCCAAAACAGATCCAAAAGATGAGAAATCATTCGTTGCAGCCCTCTTCGTGACAGTTTGTCGAGCCTCTTCGGTCTTCCTCCTTCGGGCGCGATGCCCGCTGAAACTTAAATCTAGGCTCGAGATTCACTGATCGCAAATCAAAGAAAAAAAGAAAAAAAAAGGACTAAATCGCGGAAGCTAAGTGCACATGGACGACCAACGATCGCAATGATCGTTCTCCGTACATGCACAGAATCTCGAGCGCAACGTTCGTTTCGAAAGCAAATCGCGACCGCGACCGCGAAATTCGAAAAATCGACGAGCAAAGCCAGAGACGAATGGCATCGTCGTCCATTCGTCTCAGCTTCGCCCTCGATTTCTCAAATTTTATTCCCTGAAACAGGTTGTCACGCGAAAACGCGCCTACCCGATCAGAGACTGTGACAACCTGCCCGGCCCTACCTACTTATAATTAAACAGACACACCAGAAGTATGCTACCTATCCTACCTAGCCCTATATTTAAAAAATATGGCAAAACAGGCATACCAACACACTCGTTCCACGATTCTCACGCATAACACCCGGGCGCAAAAGCCTACACTAGGGAAAGCGTCCCGGGACGCCTCCGACACCCGAGCTTGGCATACTTCTTTCACACTCTAACTTTACGTACCATTTTCCTGAAATCGACTGACGATGGCTAGCGATCATTGCGTAATTCGCGATAAAATATGTTATTATAATATAATATATCTTGTTATTAATTGCGTATGTATCTTAATTATTAATTTTTGTGAATTTTTATCAATGAAATAATAGTATTTTTAAGGGAATCGAATTAATAGAATGATACGGATATTCGATATCATTTTATTATAATTGGAAAATAAAAATTATAATATATAAATTATTGTTGGAAGTTGTAGTAATGAGATTAATTGAATATTTAAAATATTTCGAGTTATGAAATAATAGACGAAACGACGCAATTCCACAACCTAACCACACATATACACACAATGTGGAAAATACATCGTGCACGATACACTAACGCATCGTCAATCGCTGAAAAATTGTTGTAAGCTTATAAACTACAATCGTCATACCCATCACCTCTCTCTCACTCAAGTAGCACCTGAGCACGTGAGCGAGATCCTGGTAATGGACATGGAAAGGGTTAAACCTGAAAATCCTGAGCTAAAAAGATAGATTAATACTTTGTATCTAACGGGCTAATATTATTTAATATTATTTAATTTAAAATTTACTTTATTTTATAGAAATTTTAATTAATTAAAATTTACTTTATTACAAATTTAATGAACTATTATTAATTTTAGAAAAAATAAATATTTAAAAAATAAATATGAAAATTTATGATAATTAATAAGAAATTTTTGTATAATAATTAATGATAGAAAATAATTGATTCTAAATGGAATATTAATAAAGATAACCTCAGGCGATCTCTTCATCAAAATACATTTTTGGAAATATAAAATCAATATTCAAAACTTTTTACCTTGATTCAGAAATCTACCTGTCGCGAAGTATTTTCTTGCACATAATATTTCATATATTTTTTACAGAAGAAGAATAATAATAGAATTAAAGAAAAATAAAGGAATAAGAATAAAAATAAAAATTGTTAATTATAACAATAGTATGTATTATCTTTATTGTAACGAAATCAAAGGACTTCTTCACTAAAAAAGAGATTTAATTAAAGTCATTTCAATATTCATTGTTCATTCAAATTCATTTTCTTATTTATAAATTTATTAATTATGATTATTTAATTTTCATTTTAAGAATATTGGTGAAAACATTTTCAATCATAGATAATCAAATCAATTATCTATATTATTCATATTAATAACTAAAACATTATTTAATATATAATTATTATCAAAATCATTCTTTTAAAAACACGACGTGCAAGAAAATCTATCCTAATCTAATAAATAAAACACAAGAAAAAGAAATGTTACTACTCACGGGTATAATAAATACCCGCGGTCACTGTGCTCGTGTAAAAATCTACGTATACAACCAGTCATCCGTGTCGATTTGGATCTTTCATCCTACGACATGATTGAGTGACCAGAGGAACATGAATGCATGCGACTCACCAATAGATGCGAAGAATCTGTCTTGCCAATCTATGTGATATCATTCCAAAGTACGTCAAGTACAAGGAAACTGTAAGAAAATATGAAACAACATAATTTAAAAATGATATTAATTTGAAAAAATTGAAATAAGTGGAAAATATATAAAAATAATTACCTCTTCGCGTGATGGATGACCGCTTTATTCCTTGAGAGCACTGACTCTATTTTATACCGAAAATAAATGTTTAGGAAAAAAAAAATAAAAATAAAAATCTACTAACGTATATGTTTAATTTATAATCGGCGAACAAACACTGACTCGAATTTCGCGAAAAATTATTTTAACAAAATATATCCAGAACCATTTTATCTTAAAAAATATAAAGATACTATTACGAAACAAACACTGACTCTACCGACCGCATTGCACGCGATCACAAATATTTCCTAAAATTAAAATAGGATTAGTGAAATGAGGAAAAAAAACAATGTTTCTTATATATTTTTTCTCTTTTTAAGCATTAATTTATAAGATACTGATATTTTTTAAAGATATTAATTGAATATTGATCATAAATAAAGCTATTTTATATTAAAAAATTCATTTTTCTTTTATAAATTTATCTATATTCTCTGCTATTTTTCACCTTAATATTCTCAATAATTAATATTGAATATATTATAATTATTATATTTAGTGAATATAATAGAGAATATAAACTATTTATTATTTTATAACGATATGTATCATTATAATCTAATAAAAAAAATAGGAAATTATATACATATAAAATATCAAGCTTTACCACTGTACATGCAGAAGTATAATGGCGTCCATATTGAAATCTTTCCCGCCTTTTTTGCTAACAATCAATCCAAGCATTCAATTATAATCTGCACAAAAAAAAATCGAAATTTTAAAATAAAAGTATAAAATGTATAGAACTGAAATCAATTATATTAGAATAAAACAATAATAAAACCTAAATTTATATCTTAGAAACTCGTAATATGGAGCTATTTGCAACTCTAACCTTTAATATATAAAGAACCTTTATTGTAATAAATCCATAAAAATAATTCAGTTTCCACTCGATTATAATAATAAATGAATAATTATAAAACAAATATTAATTGCACAATAATATATGAACGATAAACTATCACTATAGAAATAAATACTACGCAGCAAATAGATCACACACCTCCAAGGAAAAATGGCACGTCTTCACACTACGATTATCGATAATACAATGACTCCGCATCGCAATTTCGATTATCGAATCGCGAATTAGGGAGGGGATATGCTTGACAGTTTGACAACAAGTCGAGACACATCGAAATATGTCGAAGTAACACAAATCCAAGCGAGCTCAATTTCTTGGAAACACTATATTATGAAAATATTAACCTCGAGCATAATATTGAACGAAGAAAAATATATAAACATTAGAAACAAACGCAATTAGAAAGAAAGTCGTTGAAGTAATATAATTTGACGAAATAAAATTTTATAATAAACGAATATTTGTCGTAATATGAATAAAAAATAATAAAAATCTATTTTATATACATCTATTTCTATGAAAAAAATTGAAATATTACCTGAAATATAATACAGGAAAATTATCAGATATAAATTATCGTGACGTGTACTATTATTCATCCGAAGTCATCAATTGAGGCATTTAAACAATAATCTAAACAAATAAAAAATAAAACCATAAAACAAATGCAAAAAATATTATAATTATATTAAAATAAAACAATAAATAAGCTAAAATTCTGATTGAAAAGCTTGTAATGCAAGACAAGCTATCGATAACCTCAATAGACAAATAGACAATCGAAGACAAAGCACAAAGAAAAGTTAACTAATTTCGTTGTTACAATGTTTAATAGATAATTAAATGAACGAAGCTAATAGCAATATAACAATAAATTCGATAAAAGAATTAAGAATAGTATCACTTACTGCGTAATTGAAGTCACTCGTCACAAGCCGTAACACGTCCTGTCTCGATGATTTTCGATATAAGAATAACGCTTCACGCCATAGGTTCGCCTACGGCGTTTCTAATTGGTTGAAATAATAGTTCCTTATTCGCTTAAATCGCGCGAAAATTTAAATGTTATTATTTTGAAATAAATTGATGGTTAACAACTATCGTATGTATCGCGTATATAAAAATAAGCGTACATTTTAATTTTAATTATACATATTATTGATTAATGGA